ATTGGGAATCATCAGCAGTGCGCACCTCATGGAATTTGATCAGAAAGTTTAGTATCAGCCACGAGCAGCTGAACAGGAGCATGACTGCTTTTGTAATGCACTACGCATAAGGTTGCTGAAAACTCCTCGACTAACTAACTTAACTAACTCGCCCTTAGACAGGATGCGAAGCAGCTCCTCACGCAACCTCCATTCTAAAGGTAGGTCAGGTGTAGAATAAAATTCTGCCAGTGAGTTAACCTTCCATCTGAGAAGTGATCACCTGAGAAGCCAATCAGTGGATATGGCAACTGGCGATGGATGAGTGGTTCTATATCCTGTATAAGCGCTAGCCAGTCGTACTGTTGATCAATCGGCCGTGGGTGGACGTCTACTAGCAAGTAAGTCACGGGTTGGAGACTTCCTAATTGGTGGCTGAGAGCGAGAGATGTCTCAGAGTTTAGAAAGCGCATTTGTTGACCAGAAGGTCCGTGGTTCGAACCCGGCCTCTGCATCTCGACTTCCCCTGTCTGGGCTTGGGCAACCTAGCAGTACCCAAGCCCTCGTCGTTCCTTTGGGTGGCATGCTGGCTATGCACCGAAGGGGTGTTACGGCTGATGCTTACCAATAAGGATGAAGGAGGTGTACAGTGCTTCCCGAGTTTTCAGCATGAACTGGCACCGTTTAGAGAAAGAAATATTCGCTACGCTCACTTGCTGCTCCACACAACTGAGTTTTGTGAACCTCAGTGGTTAAGACGGGAAAGTGCTGGTCGGAAGGTAGACTAAAACCAATTCTGTTCATTCGATTGTCCTCCCGAGATGTGTGACATCTTTTGTAATCTTAGCCCTTGTGCTTTTTCACTTCACATGGCAGTCAAGCATTCAAGGTTGATCAACTCGTTTCGCTCCTGTTTCGATCCAAAGGGTACCCGTTTTCTGTGTGACGCAGTTTTTGTCACATCAGAATAACCGCGAACGGATGGTGCTAGCCTGTTCTCTACTTTAGTGTCTAGGATGTGTTTGACAAACTGCCACTCGTTGCAACGGTACTGTGTCTATCAGTAGTAATTGTGGGTGTAGAGTACCCAGGTGTACCTATGACCAAAAAGTCACTCGCACCAACCAATATGGGAACCGGACTCGAACCAGCGCACAAACTGGGACTTCCATCATCCAAATTCCAATATCGACAGAAATGAATAGTACTAAAAATTAAAGGATAATAATGAAGAACCCGAGCTGATGATGGTGTCTGACTGTGTGTGTTCTTCTTAAGTGGAAACATGAAAATTCCTAAAAAATTGTCCACAGGTCGATGAGATACGGATAAACCTAGCCATTGTCCAGAGGCACACGTTCCTGGCGAGCTTAAAGCAAGCTCGAGTCCGCGCTACTGATGCCAAATTGCGACAATATATCGTTTAGAGTTTTGAGGACTTATTCGAAGTTGATGAAAGTTATTTAGAAGCATGATAATCAAATGGAGATGTAGTTTCTTTGTAATGTACTACTCACAAGGTTGTTGAAAGTCCATCGACAGCCCACGACCGGTTTCGCCCTTCTTGGGGCTCATCAGGTAGGCGCAGTCCCCGGGTTTCCGTCAACCTTATGGTTTACTTGAAACCAAATTGCACGAAATTAGCGGATATACACTAATTTGGTTTTTCGAGAGACTCACCTGGAACCCAGCTGAATCTCTCGTTTGTGATGTTCTCAGGCAACCAAATTAGTTTGCAAATGAGTGTATATTCCCTGAGATGTAGTTTCATTATAGCTAAACCGCCAAGCATCCCAGAGAAGGTAGAATTGGAAAGCGTGCGGAGGAAGGTTCCTTTGGGTGGCATGCTGGCTATGCACCGAAGGGGTGTTACGGCTGATGCTTACCAATAAGGATGAAGGAGGTGTACAGTGCTTCCCGAGTTTTCAGCATGAACTGGCACCGTTTAGAGAAAGAAATATTCGCTACGCTCACTTGCTGCTCCAAACAACTGAGTTTTGTGAACCTCAGTGGTTAAGACGGGAAAGTGCTGGTCGGAAGGTAGACTAAAACCAATTCTGTTCATTCGATTGTCCTCCTCAGATGTGTGACATCTTTCGTAATCTTAGCCCTTGTGCTTTTTCACTTCACATGGCAGTCAAGCATTCAAGGTTGATCAACTCGTTTCGCTCCTGTTTCGATCCAAAGGGTACCCGTTTTCTGTGTGACGCAGTTTTTGTCACATCAGAATAACCGCGAACGGATGGTGCTAGCCTGTTCTCTACTTTAGTGTCTAGGATGTGTTTGACAAACTGCCACTCGTTGCAACGGTACTGTGTCTATCAGTAGTAATTGTGGGTGTAGAGTACCCAGGTGTACCTATGACCAAAAAGTCACTCGCACCAACCAATATGGGAACCGGACTCGAACCAGCGCACAAACTGGGACTTCCATCATCCAAATTCCAATATCGACAGAAATGAATAGTACTAAAAATTAAAGGATAATAATGAAGAACCCGAGCTGATGATGGTGTCTGACTGTGTGTGTTCTTCTTAAGTGGAAACATGAAAATTCCTAAAAAATTGTCCACAGGTCGATGAGATACGGATAAACCTAGCCATTGTCCAGAGGCACACGTTCCTGGCGAGCTTAAAGCAAGCTCGAGTCCGCGCTACTGATGCCAAATTGCGACAATATATCGTTTAGAGTTTTGAGGACTTATTCGAAGTTGATGAAAGTTATTTAGAAGCATGATAATCAAATGGAGATGTAGTTTCTTTGTAATGTACTACTCACAAGGTTGTTGAAAGTCCATCGACAGCCCACGACCGGTTTCGCCCTTCTTGGGGCTCATCAGGTAGGCGCAGTCCCCGGGTTTCCGTCAACCTTATGGTTTACTTGAAACCAAATTGCACGAAATTAGCGGATATACACTAATTTGGTTTTTCGAGAGACTCACCTGGAACCCAGCTGAATCTCTCGTTTGTGATGTTCTCAGGCAACCAAATTAGTTTGCAAATGAGTGTATATTCCCTGAGATGTAGTTTCATTATAGCTAAACCGCCAAGCATCCCAGAGAAGGTAGAATTGGAAAGCGTGCGGAGGAAGGTTTTAGATCAGCCGAGATGACACGAAGCACTTATCAGCAAAATGGTCTGGGTCTAAAAGTACAAAATCCAAGCTGAGTAAGATCCGATTAACCAACCCCAACCCCGAACCAGTTATCCCGGCACCCCCTGAAGAACACAGGCGAAGAGAAATTTGTGAATGTCCTCTGAGGGGAATATTCCTTTGAGGTGTCTTAGGCCGCGAAATCCGCGTTCACCACGACGACACCTCCCCCCAACTAATCTATTGTAAATGTTAGTCATTCTCACTAACCAACAAACAGGAACTTCAGACTGACACCCAGCAGTGATCAAGTCAAGAGAAATCTCACCGACTGGTTCCCTGACTGCCTTAAAACCTAGTCAACCTACTTACTCACATGGCCAGACGAAGCTTTTGTGTCGATAGCGAAACGTGGCCCAGCAACATATCCACCAATTGTTTGCTGAATTTCTCTGAAGCCCAATCAAGAATTAATCTGTTCTCGTGAGTTACGGAGGAACTCCTTTTTGAATAAAACAGACTTGCATACTGATCGTTCAGCTGTAACAACCTTCGGTGCCGTACCACCCAGAGGAAGCACAAGGGCTTGGAAGCTGCCCGAACCCAGACAGGAGCCGTCAGGATGCCGCGGTTGAGTTCGTACCATGGACTTTCCAGTCAGTAATTTCGTCTCTTAACTAGTGAATCAGATATACTAATCAGAGATATCAACACGCCCATGGCAACGAAACCGCTGAGACTGTGCTTCTAGGATAAATTTCAAACTGAGTGCCAACGAAGGAAATGACGCAACCACGTTCTATGTGCCTTCAACTGATGACTGCAAACGGATTTGTGACCAGTCATAGGCGGAATTAGTCGACCACTCGCTCAAATAGTCCCGTTTGTTCGTCGAACGTCACTGACCTTGGAACATGTTTAGTGACCCTAACAGAACACACAAGTATCCGACATCAAACTACGACAGATCACCTGACTGCGAATGACAAGCGATTTCTTTTCATGTTTTTATACAGTTACATCCGCGCTATGACGGCTGAGAAGCTGAAAATCTCGTGGACTAGCGTGCGTGTACTTTAGGGAAGACTGTGGACAACATAACGACCAGGGTGACTGATTTTCCAGATAGGGGTAGGTTCGACTGAGTTCGAATAAAGATCTATCCGGTCACGTGACAAGCTCAATACCTGCCTGCATGGCAATATGCTTCTCGCCTTTTGGATATCCAAGACGCGAAATTTTCAGAACAGTTGATGAAATATTAAAATCAATCGATCGTCACAACCAGGACAGTTACTGGGTCGTCGTTCGATGAGTCGGGTACACCAACCACATCGCTCAAGTGTGAACGCGTTGGCCTGTTCAGATGTGAAAATTCAGATGCATCCGACGTGCGTTGGTGGAGTAATGGTTACACGCTCGCCTTGCATGTCAGATGTCCAGATGTCCAGTTCAGATCCCGGCACGGCCATTAGATATACACTGCTAATGAGCTCTAACAAGAGCGAAACTCGAGTCAAGTGCTTCCCTTTGGTGTGAACTCTCCGAAATAATTACGCCAAAACAGGAGGACGACCGTTCAAACAAGAGTGGTGTGACTATGAGCAAAATACCTATCCCGCAAAACACCAAAACTGCAATAAAAAATCCTCAGACCACAGATGACCTTTCATTCTCAAGTTGACTTGCTCTGACAGTCACGGTTCTCAGACAGCTCTGATGAGGTAACCTCCTGTAGGTAAAGAACTTTATGGTGATGGTATAACTAATTCAATGCGTCAACGAAGTGACCCTGTGAACAGTTGTATAAGTCTTTAGGTTGCCTTGAATGATGATCAACTCAACTTGTCCCCACCCGACTGATTTGAACTGATGTTTACAGTAAACAGGGACTACTATGATGACCAACAGTTCAAGGGACAACTTACCAAAGATTTAACCTTGATATTTCTTGTTGGACCTCCAACAGACGGTGTTCTCTTGTGAAGCTGTTGTGAACCGAACTGTCCTGGTGATGCCGGAGGACGTGCTTGGTAGGCCTGTTGCTGTTGTTGTGGACTTACGGTAACCTGGTCAGACTGCGGCACAAACTGGTTGCTAGGCTGTTGATATTGTTGCTGGGCTTGATAACCACCTGGAGTTTGTTGCAGTTGCACACTGCTCACCTGCTGAGCTCGTGAAGGCTGTTGTCCAAACTGTGTCTGTTGTGGGGGCGGAGGCTGAGTTTGTCCCGCCGGTACGGCACTATATACCCGAGGTTGTTGATGTTGCTGAGGTGGATAGACTTGCGCAGGTGCAGATTGTGCTGGGGCAGCCCACTGCTGGTGCTGTTGACTAGACTGCATGCTGATTGGTTGACCTGTTACGGGTTGCTGATTGGCTGTCGGGTACATCGTCACAGAGCTACCATGCTGGCCGTCCCGAATGGATGTCTGAGTTTGGTAGGAGACGGCCGATGGTGGCGCGTTTGTCTGTTGCGCAGGCCGTGCAGCAGGCTGTGCGAACATAACCTGACCAGCTGGTTGCGGTGACTGGTACAGTTGTTGCTGTGCGGCCGGTTGCCAGGTTTGTAGTGGTTGCACAGGTTGATACGATTGCGGCTGTTGTGGCGATTGATACGATGCGTACTGGGGAATTTGTTGTTGCTGCGGCTGACCAAAATAAATCGCATTTGGTTGTGTGGCTTGCTGCCCGGGTGACGTAATCACTCGGTAGTTCTGTTGTGGCTGTTGTCCTTGGTTCGACCCCACGGTGAACACTTGAGGTTGACCCGGTTGAAAACGCGGTACTGTTTGATAGGATTGGGGTGAAACTGGTTGAAACGGGCTTGCGTATTGTTGTTGCCCAGCTGGCTGTGCGTAGTAATTCTGCTGACCAGGTGAGGGTGCTGGTGACTGTGGATGCGAAAGAGTGAGCACTTTTGTCGAGGTCGACATGGGCTGCGGTGTATAGGTTTGATAATTGACCACACCTCCAAAGTCCTGCGTTGCCATAGTATCGAATTTACGAGAAACCGCTGCCGGAATTATTGAAAATAGAGAATCAACCAAGAGTCCACCTACAGAACTGGAGGCGAAACGAGACTTCTAAGAAGGAAGCGGTGGTCAGACGAGTCTTGAAACTCACCGCAGTGTAGTACCGCTTAGTTTAACACAACTGGTCGAGTATGGGCAACTTAGATATGCACTTTTACGGGTGTTTCCTTTCCCTTTCACAGATTGGTTGTGACATTGTTCCACCTATTAGTTTACAGCGTCGATAGGTAGGCGCGCATTTCACCCAGAAGCTTGCGTGCGTACGTGCGTGGGTGTGAGGTTGGTGTGTGTGTGTCTACTTTCGGGCAGTGTTCGTTCGGCCCAAGGTTGTTTGTGCCATCACAGGCGTGGCTTACCGCAAAAACAATATGTATACATTAATCATATGCTTTGTTTAGCATGCGAACAAAGAACCCAAGCGAGGTACTGCTGGACGCTTGCGGGATGACAAGCTGTCGCAAAGCGACAAAACTGTTTGGAACTACCTATTCCAGAAGTATTTTGCACTTCGTAGTGTACGTGTATTAATGGTCGCTTTTGATTGGACGCCAGTGCTGGCTGGACTGGTGGTCACTGTATGGAGGGGAACACTCTGGGGTGTGGTTTAGCCCGGCAGTATTTTCTTGCTTTTTTTATGAGCAATATAGGGATCAGGACAAGAGGGGCCAACTTGCCTCAGCTACCGCCAACAGGTGCTGAACAATTTCATTATATTGTAGACAATAATAAAGGTTTTTAGTATGGTTGTCAGTAGTGGATTGCAACACGTATAAAAATAAATACAATCCGTAATGGGAGAAAGTCAAAAAGGGAACTTGTCGTATGTGAGAGTGCCTTGGTGAAAGTCCAGACGGCGGGAACTTGTTTTTCTCCGCAGTGCGACTGCCACACGTGTTCCATGGTTGTCCGTGGACTGGTGGAGCGGTTGACGTCTTGCTCCCTGCGCGCGCGGGAGTCTCTGTGTGTCCGGTTTCCTTATATGTAGGTACGTTTGCGTGTACGTGGGTATGTTAGCACATGAGTTGTCGCTACGCTCACTAGACGATGCAATCAATCGATGCCCGATGAGTCACCTTGATGTGACGTGTTTGTATGAAAAAAGACAAGCCTCGCGATCCAGTGAGCGACTGTGAGCTGAACAGTCAAGTGTGTGATTGATGGGGTAGCCACAACTACTCCCCCTCTAGCGAAAGAGAGGTGGATACCTCGTGCTGCAGACTTTTTGCACACAATGTATCCTCTAAGGGGGACTGTGAGCTGAACAGTCAAGTAGGTGGGTGACGGGGTAGCTACACTATCTGCCGCGTCATTAGTGTGGCTAGATCAAATAAATGCGGTGGTAGACAGTCTGGTCCCACGTCTATACGTTTCTTGATCCGACTAATACCGACTAATAATGACCCATGAGAATTCCCCGTCTTCGAGAAATACACTCATTTGCAAATCAATCTGGTTTTTACGAGAGACTCAACGGAATCTCTCGTTCATGATATTCTTCAACCGAATGTGCTGTACACGGGCCACCGCGTGTTTCAGTTGGAACGATATTCATAAAGGAAACAGCTCACGAGGTTGCTGAAAACTCTCCGAGAATCCACGACCGATCTCGCCCTTCTTGGGGTTCATCAGGTAGGTGCAGTTCTCGAGTGTCCACCATTCTTATATTCTAACTGAACCCAAATTGAACTGATTCAGTTGAGTCTCTCTCGTGAAAACCAACTGATTTGCAAATGGTGTATTTCTTCGAAAACAGTCCAATTTGGGTTCGAGCAGAACATGAGGTTGACGGAAACTCGGGGACTGCGCCTACCTGATGAGCCCAAACTGGAAGGGCGAAACCGGTCGTGGGCTGTCGAAGAGTTTTCAGCAAACTTGTGAGTAGTTTCCTTTATGAAATTGTCCACGTTTTCTCTCCGCTCCTGTTTACTTTCGTGACCGACGAGATAATGAGGAAACTGCTTGAGGTATTCAAAATCCTGGCGTTCAAATAGCTTCTGACGACAACCTTGTAGATCTGCAGTATGCAGCCTTGGAAGTTGTATCTGCTCCGATTGTAGATTGACAGATGGTGTCAGCGCACGAATCTGCCGTTTCCAGATCTGAGACGCTCATACTGGTAAGATGGCATATCCATAAGCCTCAGGGGACTGGTTATCAGGCCGCGTGGTTGTGAAGTTCCGCCGTTTTAGTCAGTGGAATTAGGGCGTCTTCAGGTTTTCGACAACCGTTGTCTCGGAACCATAGTCCTTGTAGGTTTGGCTTGGCAAATCCGAAACGAAGCAATCGAAACTCGAGTTTATGGTTGTACATCGAAGAATTCGCCCAGCTTGGGATAGATAGGTCATGTAGTGCGCAGGCCGAACCATCGTTTTGTCGAGGAGAGTACTGTTTTCTGTGCCCAGGGCAGAGTGGCAAAAACGGACAGGTGGTCAGTCTTTGACCGGACAAGATGTGAAAGCAGAAAGTCCACGTGACTTGCAGCTTTAGATCCGCGTGTTCCCCCCTGCACATGGTTGAAGACGCTACTGCTAATCGATCGCAATGGCGCACTTGCTTCAGGATTCGTTTCATGGATGTCAGCTTTCGATCGAGCAGATCTGGAACTCGTGCAAGAATCACTTTTGGAAACTGACCATCAATCCACCGACCGACGTAAACCAGATATCTATGCGAACTGGCAAAGTCATCAAACGTGGGGTTCTTCAAACGGTTTTTTGTCAGCGTTATCATTTTTTTTCAAAAACAACACAAAAGCCATAGGTTTACGAGCACACAGTCATATTTCACGAATTCTCCCTCGACCCTTATTCCCTAGCTCAAGTCAAACGGATGAATTGTGTAACCTTTATGTTACTGTTTCTTCTTTCTAAGAAGTCCTAGCACATCCCACCCTTCACACACACGAAAAAAATCGTCAGCTATTGCACGGAAGTTTCTTCCCTGAATGTCGCTGAGTCGCTTTGAGCAGACTGTCGATAGTGAAACCAATTTGCCAGAAACGGTAATTAGTATTCGTCCGCAGCATTAGATTCTGGTGAAAGTCCACTTATTTCAATGCCGGAATGTACGAACATCTGTGTACACACCTTTCCGAGAATATAATCAGTATTTTTTCACCAAATTGAGTTGAAATTGAGTGTAATTCACGAATTGAGAGAGTTTTGCTTTCAAGTACAACGTAAGGTTGTTGAAGTGCACCTGATCGTGGGCTCTCGAACCGTTTTTATCAACCTAATGAGAAGCGTATTCCGTCATGAATGCGTTTCACAACACGCAGAAACTCTCCCGCCACAGCACCAGGCCGCACTGTCACGCATAGGAAAAAACGCCGTTTCATTAGCATGTACACACCTGGTGAGAGTTGGGGGCGGTTGCAAAGCCATGTGTGGGGACCATTTGTCGTCGGCCTGGGAAATTTCCCAGTTTCACCATTTGCCCGTGCATTCCTACCGTTTAGTATAGACACTCCGAAAATTGGACACCATTGAATGTGCACTGGAGTGATTGTACGCCATAATTCAAGGGTACTGGAACACGCCACAGTTGAAATCCCACAGACAACATGGGATAACTCGGAATGGCCCACGTACTATTCGTATATACCTTGATGTTGCGTGGCACACATGACTCTTAGTCAGATCGGCTCTATGTGAACACTTTCTTATTTCCAAAAAGGAAACTACTCACAAGGTTGCTGAAAACTCTTCGCCACAGCCCACGACAGATTTTACCCTTTAGGTACGCGTAGTCCCCGAGTTTCCAACAACCTTATGTTTACTTGAACCCCAAATTGAGCTGTTTTCGAGAAATACACTCATTTGCAAATCAATTTGGTTTTCACGGGTGACTCAACCGAATCTCTCGTTTATGATGTCCTCCAACTGAATGTGCTTCATTCAGGCCGCCTCATGATTCAGTTGGCACGATAGTCGAGATTTCGCAGTGCACTTTCATAAAGGAAACTACTCACAAGGTTGCTGAAAACTCTTCGACAGCTCCCGANATATTTTTATAAAGGAAACTACTCAGAAAGGTGTGCCTCTCGTGAAAATTTTATTATTTCCGTTTTTTCTACAGTGACGCCGATTTTCTACAAACTTGCCGACCTAAACGGTGCGGAATTTTTTTCTAGTGATGTTCAATCTCTGCCGAACTCCGGGGGTGAGAAGGTACACGTTAGCAACATCCTGTATCTGTGTCACGAGATAACTGGTTTGCTTTCATTGAGAGGCGGACACAAGACTTCATCAGAGATGAGTCCTTTTTGCAACACATTCAGTTGACATCGGCAGACCTCTGAACAAAACAGAATTTGGTCTCTTCTAATCGGAACCTATTTTGAGGACAAACCTGAAGAACGATCGATTGAGCTCGTATGTTTTCGTCGCGTTGAGCACCATTAACAAATTGTGTAGGGGAGAGAATACTTCCCAAGGGGAAAGCTGACATGAGTTGTGAAGACAAACCCAGTCACGCTCCGGCGACGGATGAGAAACTAAAAATAGAAGTTCCGGATAGGGACAGTGGTGGAAACATTAGTTATAAGGGGATACATGGTAAGAGGAAGATGGATGAGTGAGCCGACAATCTGATCGAGCCAGTCCTACCAATGTGGAGCCACTTAGAGCCGTATTCCTTTCCCTAGCCTCTATCGAGCGGAGAAGTGACATGACTACTTGTAAGTAGTCTAGCTCACTAAAACAGTGTGTCCAGGCTAACCGATAGTATACCTGTGCTGCACAGTTGATCAGCTGCAATTATACTACTACAGCTTTTCAGAGGATGTACGTGGTCTCGGCAAGTCGTTCGGGAAGTCACGTTGACATGACGTTTATTTGAACAGTTTTCTTCCAGTCCCGGCTCACTCAATCAAGTGAGTGCAAACAAAAGCGGGGGAGTATTGGACTCGAGTTGCGTTCCTGTTGGAGATTACCATCCTTATTTGTGCCTGAGCTTCAACTTCGGATAGCTGACATGCGAAGTCAACGTGTTAACACCCACACACCGGCGCAACTTGGATGCACCTGAATTAACAGTTCTGAGCAGTGTTCACATTTGAGCATTGACACTGGTTTGCCAGACGAGTTGACCGACGACACAGCATTTGTTCCCTGATAAAACAGAAACTCGAGTCCAGTGATGTCCCGCTTTGATGTGAAAGTACCGG